GGGTTATCTGTGGATGGGGACAGTGAGTGCTTGAGCATTTAAGACAACTTTAATCAATTGCATTGTTTTCCCCATATTACATTGGCCTTTTCCTTGCTAGGAAAGTTTTGTTTCCAGTTTCATTAAAGCCACCTTTAATTTATTTTTTGAAGGAATAAAGATATGGAAAATACTATTTTAAGGTTAGACTATTAGGAATTAAATGTTAAGAGAAAATAAATTAGATCAGATTCCATAACTCATGTTATTAATGTAAAACAATTCAGTGTGTGAACTGACAGCACATTCAGAACGTCGTCTTGGAAGTGGTTCCTTTCTAGCAAGATGTACTGAAAGAGCTATTTCTTAGTTGGGTAAAACTTTCATCATTTTAACTTTGGGGTGGGAGGAATAAACTGGAATTTTTTAAAAGGTTCATCAGAACAAGTATTAAGTTTGAGTAATAGTAAGCAGTTTAATCTGTTTTACAGGATCTTTTTTCAATCAATGCTTACGTTTATGCTCAGAAGCCACAGCTGGATATTCACAGTTTTGAGGGTACCTTCACACGGGTAAGTAGTGTCTGTAAATAAGTTCTACTTCTTTCCTGTTTTCCAGTGTCACTGAAACATAAGTATCTAAGCTGCATCTGATCTTTCCTTAGGTTTACAGGAGATTTTTCCATGTTGCTGTAACAGAAATACTTTATATGCGTGATATTTTGGTAAATGTATGTAGCAGGAAACTGATACAAAAAAACCTACTCCTCATGTTAACGTTTTTATTTTAAACCATTTATACATCAGCATATGTCTGTTTATCTTCAAGCATTTTTTATATTGTTTATATATGTTGGAAAATGCTGCAAGTCAAATATATTCAGTAGCTTGAGACAATGCAACTGCTAGTTTATCTACAATAAAAAGATGCCTTGTTTATCGTGTCCTTTCAAGGAAAAGACTCAACTTTGGAAGTACCAGCTGTCTTTAAAAATAAAATAAAATGGAAAAGCTCCTTAGGTTTAAGCTAGTTTATTAATAAGCTAGTTTATTAATTTTTTTGCCTTTTAGAATTAGATTCAAGATCAAATACAACATAACCCTGTGTTCATTTTTGTGACTTTTTTGCTGTTATTTTCAAAAGGTGACCTGTTAAAGTTAATCTTTTAAAGCAGTGTGTCCTCATAGCTGCTAAAAAAAGCATTTCAGATTGCTAGTGCTATATTAGCAGATAGAGTGATTGCTTGGTTTACATAAGCCAGACTCAGTGTTACAGTAGACTTGTTCCTCCTGATAGTTTAAGGTCCTGAAATGATTTGATAGAATTAACTACTGTGGGGGTGGGGAGAAGGCTTTTTTGACCCAGTGACTCAAATTGGTAATAAATTTTGCTCAGTAATTGGAATTCCAGTTCACAATTCCGAGTTCACTGATGAATGAGATATTGCAGTTGTTCACTGCTGAACAACTTTATACCAGTTTATACCAGTTATAGTTCTTGCTGCCTACACAGTAAATGTCACTGGTCCACAACTTAAGAAGCTGTAAGAAACAATGTTTACTTAAATTTTGTATTGACCAATTGTCCAAATGAAAATTCTATTAACAGCTGTAAAATTCATGTTATTCCTGTCCCAATGGCTAGACATATACTTTTGTAAATATAAATTGAACTCTTTGGAGCCTTTTTAACAACTTCAGTGTGTGCAATTGAGGCATCGGGAAATTATCGTTAAATGGCTGCTCTCCGTTGTGGGTTCCATTTGTAGGTGTAATAAGAGCAGTATTATTCAAGCATTCCTGATAAGGAACCTTTCAGGCTTACAGATGCATTGTTTTGACTGCTTATGAAGGAAGGGTAGTTCAAACTGAATTTGTGTGTGCATGCAGCTGAGGGCAGTGCCCTCAGATTTGGATAAATCACACTGTACACATTTATCACTTTTAGAAGCTTTTTTGTTAGCTGTATACCTTGTGCACAGTGAAATTTGGCAGAATTTGATGTTGCTTTAGGACACTTGTTTACTGATTTATCTTTCCAGTTTGGCTGTGAAGCCCTGCTTGTTACACTAAATCAGTTTTTGCATCTAATTTCTGTTATATGTTAAAGTTTTAAAAAAAAAAAAAAAAAAATTAGTGTGCTTAGTGATGCTAATGCATACATTTTTCCTACTTAGGCATTGATGTTCAAAGAATTCTTGCAAGGGTAGGTTGACAGGGTAATAGCACATTGATTTTTTTTTTTCTTTTTTTTCATTATGAAGACAGAGTGCTAACAATGTAGAAGACAAACTTAGATAATTTCAAGAAGTGCATGACCATTTAAAAAAAAACAAGAAAGTTAGGTGCATAGCTGTAGAATTTTTATGTGGGAACAACTTCTCTTTCAAATACTTCTGTGTGGGAAATATATCTACTACTAGCCTAATAATTGACAGAACATACCTTTTGTAGTGCACTAGCAAGCTACATCAGGAGGAGTTAAAGCTCCATGGTACTCTTTTCTGTCTGCCAGCTTCACATGCAGTCATTTTTCCTTCTCTCTCTGTGAGTTTTGATACTTTATATGCAGTCAGTGCATGAAAACAAGGTTGTGCCCTTGCATGGGCACACAGGAGGAATCACATCTGGCCCTTAAATGGCGATCTAAATTAATCCTCATCCTCTACTTCCTTTTTTTCTAGACCTTCTGCCAAGAAGTGAGAAATTAGCTAAATTTGGTTACTGTGAAAATACATGAGATATTTGTTTATATGAAGTGTGTTTATATATTCTCAGAGTATCATCCATATCATGTCTTGATATGTTGAAATAGTGCTGCACAGAGTAGGGATTTACATAAGCCCAACTATTAGAGGATTTCTGTCTGACAGTAGGCTTGATACATTAGGAATCTATTTTACCAATTCTGCAAAAGCAGGAGAAAAACATGGATCTGTAGAAAGAGAAATATAAGCTAGCCACACTTAATCCAACTTATATTCATTGCAGGCAAAAGAGTATCGTGGAGCATTATATCAGTGTATACTGGTATGCCTAGGATTATTTACACTTTGCTGGTGCCTTCTCTTCAGAATCATGGAAACTGTCTCTTTCCTGCTTTGATTTTTGGCTGTTTTTCATTTAAATTTGGCTCCTGCTTTCATCATTCGGTTAAGAATCTTTTCCTTTAAATTTCTCCTATTTTATAGCTCTGCATTATCACCTCAGTCTCTTCATTCAATTTGAGAATATTTTTAAATCTTAAGTTCCTGTTCCAGTAGGAAGATCAGGGAACTGATTCCCTTGAGTTTAGTTAATCTGCTGTACTAAGTTATTTCTACTATACTACAGAGTTATTTGGCAGCATTTTTCCAATATATCAACCCCTAACTCAAATATTTTTAAAAAAAAATTGTCTTGATACAAACATGTTGTGTGTAGTGGTTGATACTTTGGAAAACTACGTATAGAGTTGTGAGTGCAGAGAAGAGTGTTTTTGTTTACATGTTGAATCTCTGACTTAAAGCTAATTCTATAGATGTTTTCTTGGGCTTTCCTTGCATTTTAGTGGAAAGAATGCTGGCTCATTTTTAACTTCTTATTTGGTCTTAGAGAATTTTCTCTTTTGACACAATGTTGTGTTCACTTCAATCTGGCTTGATTTTCTGTTGTCACTGAAGGGGATGGTGCTGTGTTTCGTGACTCCATGTTATTTGCTGCCTTTGTGCTGGCACTAACAGCCATATGGAGAGCCAGACTAGGGAGCTGACATGTGAAAAGTAATCTGACCTTGTTAAAAATACAGGTGCCACTCTAAGGAGTGTAGCAGAAATGATTGACTGTGGGATTGGGGTGGAGGGAGGACAGGAGCCTCGTTTTCGTGATGCAACTAAACTAATGGCTATTCTTCCAGTTTCCTGGATGTCATGGCTCTACAAAGTTGGTATTATCTGTGGTCTGTGCTTCATTCTGTCATAGGAATAGGGCCCAAAAAAGGTGCGATGGAAGTGATGCACTGGTTCTTTCAAGGATTAGCTGTTTGGACTTAAAGATCTCTGTCATGCTCTGAAAGCATTTCTAGCGAGTTGTAGCTCTGAAGACCTTTTAGATAGCTACTAGAGATTTGCTGTGCCTTTTGGTCAGCTATATTGTGAATTTAGAACTGAGGGCAGGATATATTCATTTTTATTTCTCTGGTCATCTGTTCCCTTTTCTCTATACACACAAGAGCTATAGACAAGTCTCTTAGAATAGGAACTGTAGAGGATTTAAAACTCCATGATCAGTACTATGCATGATGTCAAGAACTGAGCTTAAGTTAAAAAGCTTGAATGCAATAGTAAGGATTGCGCTGTTCTGGTAATGAGCCTAATTCAGAATTTAAAGACTAATAAACATACAGCTGCCAGATGAGATTCAACCTAGGCAGACCTTCAGTGGAAGGTATGGCAACTGGACAAAAAAAACTCTTGTTTGTCAATTTCCTGCTGCTAGAGTGAGTGATAGTTTTCATTTGTTCCGTGACACATTCTTCTTCTAGCTGGAGCAGCATTCTGAAAATCTGCAGAACTTTTTTTTCCTTACCGCTGACTCAGTCTTGCTGAGGAACCAGTCTCTGTCCCCTCCCTGCTTCTGCTCTCCCTCTCTCCCTCCTCTCTCCTGCAAAATGTAAAATATAAAAATAACATGAAATAGCTGAGCTAACCCATAAGTGTATTTTTTATTTTTCATTTGAGTAGTTTATGGTAAATACAAAAATAAGGTTAAGTCATCATCTGTTTATGGATGGAAAGTGTGGTATTTGGTCAATTGAATGAATAGTAGAAAGGCAGAAAGGCTGCATGAGACAAAGACGTGAAAGAAATATGATGAAGCTGCTGAATAGAGAAGCAAGTAGAAGCTAACTGATCTGCCAAACCATTCTCTTGGTAAGCATGGCGGGCATAGAAAGAGACTTAGCTGGTTAGGTATCTTAAGATTTTAAATGTGATTTTGAGTAACTTAAAGAGATGTTTCACTAGTCTTGTGGCTGACTGGTAGACACAGGACGAATGGCTTTTTTTTTTTTTTTGATTGGCTATATTGTCAGCTCCTCATAAATGTTGCAGGACTTTTGATTTCTGCTAGCAGCGTGGACGAGCTTCACCTTTCGTTATCTTAAAACCTAGTAACTCAGGAATACATTAGGTCAGAAAAAAGGATTTTCTAGCTTAGTATCCTGTTTCTGACAATAGCCAAAAGCAGATTGCTGGGAAGGAGAATAAGAATACAATAAGGAGAAAGTAATGCTTTCCTGTCCCTTGACAACCCATGGTGTGGAAACTTCCTGAGTCAGACCTAGTTTCCATAGATAACCTGCAGTGAATTTCTCCTGTTTAAACTTGTCCAGCCCTCCCTCAACCTGTGTAATCTTTTGGCCTTCAAAGAGTAAGAAGGTCTACAGGTTAATTACATATTTTATGAAGTATAATTGCATTAATTGTTTCAATTCTGCTGGCTTTATTTATGACCTCTTTCTTGTGCTGAAAGAGACAGCAAACAAGCAGTATCTAGCTTCCTTTTCTTTATACTTGTAATTTTATAAGTGTCCA